TTGAAACGTTTAGGGTTTAAGGTTTAGGGTTGAGGGTTGAGGGGTTTAAGAATGAGGGTTTAGGGTTGAAGAGCTAAGGGTTGAAGGGTTTAAGAATTAGGGTTTAGGGTTGAAGGTTTAGGGTTTTGGAATCACGGTTTAGGGTTTAGGGTTGTAAGGCATGAAGGAAGGGAGACGTGCGAGCAACGACAGGTTCTCCTGAGGGCGAAGCCAATGTTGGTACAAGAGCCACTTCGTTAGTTCTTAATTTTAAAGGGGGCTCAACCCTTAACCTCAAACATGATGCGTGGGGAGGGTTTAGGATTTAGGGTTTCGGGTGCATGACGTAGGAACCTGGATACAACGGTAGGGACCGGAATGCAGCGGCAAAAACAATGTACTGGGCTTGGGTCATATTCTAATGTAGCCAAGCCAGGAAATGGAAGGGGATGATATCACTGATTGTACGGGCTTCGACAACTTGTTTTTCTGCTTTTGGGTGGGCTTGGGGCTATGTGGCTATCACGCAGGGTTCTATCTGTTGTCTCCGCAAATGGACACCCCATGTACGTGATTCCTAAGGAACCCTGCATACACTGACTAAGACCTACAATCAGAGTTCGTACACTGCCTAGGTGTTTCCATTTCATTTTCCGTTATCCCTAATAACCCCAAAATAACACCTATATAACCCTATATAATATACTATATAACCCCCTATAGTCTGGGTGTGCCTTTTACATCCCTCTCACCTCTGTCTCTGTTGAGTTCGCACACGCACCTAAACAAGGTCTGAATTCGAAACCCCAAGCCCCAAGTGCTAGACATCGCCTTACATCCTGTTCAAAGAAGTCTGCAAATCGATTTGCTTAAGCCTCTTGACTTGCGAAAGCAGCAGCAGCTAATCGCGGGGGCATCCAAGAATTATGTGGGGGCACTTGAGGTCCTTATCGAGGATGCCATGGAAAAGGGTCCTCCCACATGCAGGCCCATGTAAGCCTCCCTAAGCCCTGAATCCTAAACCCTAAACCCTAAACCCTAATCCCTGAATCCTAAACTCTTAAACAGATTTGTAATTGGTCTTTGCTAAACTCCCTTTTTAGGTTCCCTGTTAGTTTAGGAGAGACTGGGCTTACTCTGATCACTGTTGGAGCTATCTACTTTTGGGAACTGTTAGCCCGTAATCGCAAACCCTATCTTTACGCATCCCTATATCCCCTTCATATCCTATTAACCCTAAAAATGCCAAGCGAAAAGAACAACACCGCAACCCCTCAATGATACCGGCTCCCCACATAATTCAAGTGCATCCTCGATCCAAAGGAGCACTCATTTGAGCCATAGTCTAAACTCCTTGTATCCCCCCTCATATCCCTGATAGCAGTCCCCCATATAATCCCCTATATAACCCCCCTTTAAGGAGTTTAGACTATAGCTCACTTTGCGGTGGTCAAGTATTATTGTTCAAGGGGGGCGGGGGAGTACGACAAGGTCCAACTCTTCCTCTTTTTACTAAGGGGTTAGTAGAAAATCAGAGGGTACATTATATGGGGATCATATTTTCTTATTCCTCACTAATCAACAATAAGTCTTTCGTCAGTCAGCGAACTTCAGAAAACAGAGTAAGCGTTGTTCCAAGCCGAACCTTGAAAGGCCTATTTAGGGTTTAGGGTTTAGGGCTTTACGGTACTTGGAGGTTGCGGGCACACAAAATCCAACTATGACTCCGCGTCTAACCCAATCGTGAGCCCCGAACTTCCCTTTGTGTTTTTTTGGCCCTGTTACCCGGGGCCAAGACCGGCAGCCCCGAATTCTAATAAAAAAACATGCAGGCGCTCACAAGCAGATGGAACCACTCTCCAATTTTGGTGCTTAGGGGCCTAGGGCCCTATAGACTAGACCCTGCAACCCAAACCCTCCAATACTTCAAATCATCCCAGCCCCGGAATCCTAAACCGGAAGCTCTACGGTCTAAGTCTGAGTTCCAAACTCTAAATCCTAGGAATCCGAAGAACCGGATTGGAGTCTCGTTCCCAAATCAAATTACCATTACAGCGAGACCACACTCTTTGCCATATATATATGATAATACATGTATATATATATACATAGTATGTTAGCGTAAGAAAACATAGTATGTTAGCGTAAGAAAACAATATACAACTTCTGTACAACCCTCCTAGCTCCTCGAAAGGAAGCCCATTCTGGAACTTTCATCCAAGCCGCTGACCGGCCCTAAGCCCCACACCCTAAATCCTCAACACCGAGCCCTGAACCCGAAGCCCTAAAACCCTAAAACACTACCTGGACCCCCAAAAGTATGTAAAACAATGGCCTTTATGGCTATTATTATTATGGGTTTAGGGCTATTATTTTACATATTTTTGGGGTTTAGGTAGCCCCTACATCCAGATCTCTAAGCCTTCATCCCTACGCCCTCAGCCCTGGAGTGACAGTGACAAAGGGACGCACCTCTTGGAGGGCTGCTGCTCTTCTGTAGCAGGCCTGGCGAGACCCCCAAAATCCACTCAAATTCAGTGGGCCCCTACATTATGCAGCATAATATAACCCCTAGGCCATATTAAAATTAAAATGGACCCTGGCATTATAGAGTAAAACATACCCGCAAACCCCATTCAAATACAATGAGACCCATCACATTATAAACCCTAACCCCTAAACCATGCGATGTAGGGTCTACTTAGACGGTCAGGGGACTTAGTAAGCAGGTTACTAGCCCCTACAAACAATGTAATAATCCTGGTTATCCCCAGTATTAACCTAGATACCGAGTCCCCCTGACCCTCCAAGTAGTCTGGGAGCCCCAACACTGGCAACCCCAAGAATATAGTAGGAA